CATCCTATCCGTCAAAGCATATGCACGCGGTAAGGACTACGCTTTTTTACAATAAAAGAAATTTAAACATTTTTGCAGCTTGATCCTCGTTTTAGGGAGAAATGCACGGCAATATTTGGTCTGGTGGTCAGCAAAATTGACTAGGTATCTTTTGCTTCTGCTCTCTCGCAAAGTAGTCAGACCTTTTAGATTGCTACAAATCACCCTTGACGATCTCTTCGCTGACAGAGAGGCTATCGGCTCCGCTAGGCTTGCGATAAAGGCTTGTGGAGAGAAAGGCAAATGTGAGAATGCATACGGAAGGTAGCAAGACATACAGTGTAACGGGGCACACCCTTGCGTGAACTTAATGCAAGGGTTTCGGTGCCCCGACAGACGTACACAAGGCAAGCGAGGAAGCTAAGGTAGGGTGAAAGTAGAACTGTTATATTATTAAATTAAGTCTTTCAACTACCGTCTCTCGGTTTGACTTAACTTAATTATGCTAGTATAACTGAGTGTATGGTTACGTCTCGTCGCCACTCATTGCGCGCGTCTTGCGGCGATTGGTGGGTTGATATCGGTAAGATATCAACCAATGAGCAGAGTCTTTGGTCGACCCATCCATATCACCACTATTGGTGATATTGTTTAAAGAATATCCATCTTCATATTCTTTATTGTCACTTCCCTAAAAGTGACAATTCCATGTAACGGGCTGCCCCGTTACATACAGTGCCGAAATCAACGGATTCATGTATCTGCTAACTGTCATGTTTACAACTATCACTACCTTACTGCCCATCCATCATAAGTCGGGCCCCTCATACATCATGTCGTCATGCGTCATGGCACCTGCACAGGATACGTCGGAGCGCTCGTGCCAGTGTCTATATGCAGTTATAAGGATCGTGTATGCTTCCCTTGTGCACACACTAAGCACTTTGTATGTGCATTAATCTGTCAACAATTTCTGAGTGGAGGGCATTTGCGAACAGCTTAATTAAATCTAAGTTTAAATGACAAAAACTCCTGTGGTTGTACACCAATGTAACGAACTGCGTATTTTGTGCGGTCTTAACGATATGTACCGCACTCATCGCAGCGTATTCGAGGTCACAAATATCTGTGACGTACATATTTTGATCTACAATCATCACGTGACACTCCATCACTGCCTAAATATCGATCTGTTGTACAGGAAAGCATGTCCGTCATTATAACATTGGCCTACGTCGATTGGGAATATGCGCGTTGGGACAATGCAGGTTCAACTAGCAGACGACAATGATACCACGGGGGGTTGGGGCACCAATGTTGGAGCTGTGTAAGCTTCTAGATACGGAGTTCTAGAAACTAGTATATATACATGTTTGCAGTACTACAACAGTAGGTGGGACCGACAGAGAAAGCAAAACAATAATCCACTTTCGATTTTGTGCCGCAGAAGACAAGCGGGTAACCAAGTGCTAAACAGTTAAACGTAAAAGAAATCGGCACGCTAGCTGTGTCATTAAGTCGTTATGTGCGAAGAGGTGGTTATTGAAACCGTTGCAAGTTTTTATTGTGGGTAGAATGGTACTCTGGGAACAGTGCTAATCAGATAAATAGTAGATTTTACTTTACCTCCAAGCACCGAGGTGCGCAATCCTGGTCAAAGTATTAAATAGGCCTCAGCACCTGATCAGACTCATCAGATTATCTTACCTACGCCTTGTTTGTAATCGTGGTACATCTTTTTCTCTCTTTGGGTCGTGCTTCTTATTATCTGTTTGTTCGTATCCAGTCGTTACTGATTTTTCGGTCATATGCCATTCGTATCATCTACATCGTAGTTACAGTCGACCTAAATGCATTTATACATACATAAATAAAGTTCCCCTCGACCGATGCACCAGATCCTTCGTCTAGGTTCAACAGGATCAACAAGTTTCTTACTCCTTCGCCTTTTTGTGTACGACCCACTAGCCGTCGTCTTTGCCTCTTTCTTTCTCAGAACAAGATCAGTTTTCTCACCATCTTCAAGTCATGCACTTTGGTCATCCAATGATGCAACGTTTTCATGACCGCACATTCCATGGTGAATAAAGGCTGAACTATCTCTGTTTGCTCGAGTTGTCGTATAGTCGTCACCGTACCTGGGTAATCCTTACTATAGGATCGTGCCTACGCGTCTATCCCCTTGCTCTTCATTTAAAGATAGCAATGTCATCGAGACAAGAGCTGTTGACACTTTTTGTTGAGCTCTTGTTAACAGTCAGTGGAGCAGATAGGACACCGCGGCGAACTTAGTCGCATCTGGGAAGATGGATCGCGGGCAGGGAATATGGGAAAGGTGTGAGAAGGACTTCATTTATATTAATATAGATATAAGGTAAGCAGTAGATACAGGACCTAGCCAGTGTTGGTACTAGCTAGGTCAGTCGGCATTTGGATAGGCAAGTAAAGGAACCGAAGAACTGATAGAATACATCTAGGATCCGGTGGAGAGTATTTCTTACAAACCTAACGCTTTCTGCCTGCCACGTCGTCTTAGACTGCTCACCATATTCATTGTAATCCCATCTGTGCTGGTACTCTCGTGTATGTAAATTCTGCAACTCCACAAAAGTACGAGAAAGATGAAACAAAGAGACGCAACCATCAAGCTATGGCGCGACGGCAGCATGTCCGTCTGACTTGCTTTGCTTTGCTTCATGTAATTTGTGCCCGAATAACAAAAATAAAATAATCAATTGCCAGCCGTTAGACATCGGGAAGCAGTTGCATTACCATGACATCATGTGTAACGGGGCAGCCCGTTACATGGAAAATGTCATTTGAGAGATAATGACAACAAAGAATATTATGTTGAATATTCTTTTAACAATATCACCAATATTGGCGATATTTAGGGTCGACCAAAGAGTCTGCTCATTGGTTGATATCTTACCGATATCAACCCACCAATCGCCGCAAGACGCGCGCAATGAGTGGTGAGTAGACGTCGTCATACACTCAGTTAGATTAGTATAATTAAGTTAGGTCAAACAGAGAGACAGTAGTTAAAAGACTCAATCATATTAATATATCAGCTCCACTTTTCCCTAAGACAGTGTTCCCTCTGTCTTACCTACCGCTTCCTCGGTTGCCTCGTGTACGCTTGTCGGTGCACGATGCTCTTGCGTTAAGTTCACGAAAGGGTGTGCCCCGTTACATCATGACTAACGCTTGACGAGTAAAGGTTTAGCTAATATGAGGCTGAGATATCTCGGGACGTCTCGTTGCATTGTTTGGTTTCTCTCCACGATTCCATCATCGATTTCTTGCAACAAAATCACGACCCGCATACGCAAAGCTAACAAAAGAGATCGAGAGAGCGTTCATCATTCTGTACATCCCTTCAATCAGCCACTGACGCCGTCAACATGCTTCCATGCTGCTGCCTGCTTCTCGTCTTCGCCATCGCGCACGGCATTTTACCTCACGTGCTCTCTGAGTTTGCGTAGGTTCAGAGTATCAACATCTGAATGCGACTGCAGCCAACGCAGACGTTATGCCAAAGCTTTGCAATATTAGCGAGCGCAAGCACCGGCGAGGTAACAGCGATAGCAAGATGAGAGGCTTTGATACGGCCAGCGTAATCGTGTGTTCTCACCCGATCTTCTATTGTAAGCAAGCTTTGGCGGTTTCACGCAAAGCTCGCTTACAATGAACTGCCCGGTATGACGAAGCACACGGGGCCTCATGAGTTTACAAAATGACTCTTTGTGTTTAATGTCCTCTATGAGAGAGTCAGTAGGAATGATGTAAATTTTTGACCCATCTCATGGAATCGAGGACAAAGTAAGACCTGGTCAAGTTTTCTACCGGCTTCGGACCCGGAAAAAGTTGGTGGCGGTCGAAATCTACGTTTTCATTGCACTCTTCACAAGAAGACGTTGCGAATTTGCTAAAACGACGCAAAATGCCGATTTTGTCGACATGACAGTCGCGGGCGTTCGTCCCATTTAGTTGCGGCTGATGTTGCGTTACCGAACAGGTCAGCTCTCGGTATATCTTCCTACGGCCTTATATACCGCGCTGCCAATGCCTGCACCTTGCAATTTGCCCGAAGGTAGCGAGACACAAAGTTGGCAGAAGACGCGTTTACCAAAATAGAATAGCCCTCATTTCACTACAAGAGTCGGAAGCGTCACTTGAGCTTTTGAACCTGGTGCATCTGTGAGTTTCATAGGAGAACATCTGTGAGTTATAAACACGATGCATGTGTGAGTTATAGACACAGTACATGTGCGAGTTTCAAACACGGTACATCCGTGAGTTTTGAATACAGTGTCATTGAGTTCGACTCGGCCCTCTAGACTGGATGCCACCGAACAGGTCAGTTGGTCGGCAAGTACATGCGCGTAGGAGAGTCACTAGTACAAAGGAAGTGTCGCGTTGTATTTTAATGGTGGCTTACATGGATTGATGTGCGAGCTGATGGAATGCTGACACAATCTTGCCTGTTGAAACTGATAGTTCACTGGACAAGACGCGTTCATCGGTCCACAATTCAGTTCCAAGTTCTACTACTTCGATAGTATTACCCTGAATCCGCATGGGCTGTGGTCGCGCCCACTAGCCGTATGCGGTTACAGTTATGACGATGCACGAATAGCAGGTTCCACCGATTGTAAACACACTCGTATTCATCATGCATGTTCATCTAAGTATGGCTTTGCCTAACCATTCGAAGCAACAAAAGTTGCGACAGAAATGTCGTCTGCTGGTATGAGGCAATAGAGCATTAACAGTGCATGACGACCCGGCTGCACACTCACCTGCTCGACAGTCATCGCACGCGTCAGCACCTAACGGTCGACGGGTAGCGTTGACGTCGAATGCCATAAAACAGGGGCACTAGTCGTTACGTTGAAGCACACACGTGCAGCAGTCTAGTAAGCATGTCGCATCAATCAAGTCGATTACACTTCACAGACCGACCAACCTCGACTACTCTTTTCCGCTCTCCACATACGTCCTGTGCGACAGGATGCTTATTCGTCCGTAACGCAGCCTTCCGAAGCAGATTTCACGTTCTTAATAAACTTGTACAGCGTTCCATGAGTAGCTTTGAGCGGAGGAGCGACCCACTCCTTCTTGCGCTGAGCCAGCTCTTCAGACGACATGTCGATGAAATCAATCCGGTTCTTTTCGGCATCAATCGTGATCTTGTCGCCGTCCTTGACGAGCGCTATAGGACCACCGACTTGAGCCTCAGGTGTAATGTGACCAATGATAAATCCATGCGAGCCACCCGAGAAGCGTCCATCAGTGAGCATGGCAACATCCTTGCCCAAGCCAGCTCCCATGATTGCCGATGTCGGCGCAACTATTATGCAAAAACAGAACAAATCATGTCAGAACAATTCAACTTCTTCAGCATTGACACTGAGGAAGGGCAAACGTACGCATCTCAGGCATGCCAGGACCGCCCTTCGGGCCTTCGTAACGAATGATCACGACGCTGCCTTTTGTGATCTCATTGTTTTCGAGACCAATCATCATGTCCTCTTCACAATCGTACACCTTTGCCGTGCCTGTGAACACAAGGCCTTCCTTGCCGGTAATTTTTGCCACTGATCCTTCAGGAGCCAGATCGCCACGCAGAATCCGCAAGTGGCCACTAGACTTCAGCGGACGGTCGACAGGGTGAATGATCTTGTGGTTGTCCGAAAGGTCCGCGACCTCAGCGAGGTTTTCGCCCAACGTCTTCCCCGTCACGGTCAAACAATCACCATCGATCAACCCCTGCTTCAGCAGGTACTTCAGTATAGCAGGCGTACCACCAACACGGTGAATGTCCTCCATGACATACTTGCCGCTCGGTTTCAGATCCGCCAAAAATGGTACGCGTTCGCTAATGCGTTCAAAATCGTCAATCGTCAACGGAATTTTCGCCGCTCGAGCAATTGCAATCAAATGCAGCACCGCATTTGTCGAGCCGCCTAACGCCATGGTCACGGTGATTGCGTTTTCAAAGGCCGTGCGGCTCAGAATGTCCAGCGGTTTGATGTCCTTCTCCAATAGCACTTTCATAGCGTGACCAGCACGGAGACACTCGTTCTTCTTTTCGATCGAATCAGCCGGGAAGCTCGAAGAGAACGGCAGACTCAGCCCCAAGGTCTCGATTGCTGTCGCCATGGTGTTCGCCGTGTACATGCCACCGCAGGCCCCTGCACCTGGACAAGCGTGTCGAATGATGTCGTGACGTTCATCTTCCGTGATCCGTCCAGCCAGGTACTCGCCATAGGCTTGGAAGGCCGACACCACGTCAAGAGACTCGCCTTTCGAGCTGCAGCCAGCACGGATCGTCCCTCCGTAGACCATGAGCGACGGCCGGTTGACGCGTGCCATGGCAATCACACAGCCTGGCATGTTCTTGTCGCACCCGGGGATACAAATGTTGCCGTCGTACCACTGGCCGCCCATGACGGTTTCAATCGAGTCGGCAATGATCTCGCGCGACTGGAGGCTGTAGCTCATGCCGTCCGTGCCCATACTAATGCCGTCGCTCACGCCAATGGTGTTGAAGCACAGCCCGACGAGATCCGCCGCCGTCACGCCCTTCTTCACGTCCTGCGCGAGGCCCAACAAGTGCATGTTGCAGGGATTCCCTTCCCACCACATGGACGCGATGCCGACCTGGGGCCGGTCCATGTCCGCCTCTGTCATGCCCGTGGCGTAGAGCATGGCCTGAGACGCGCCGCGGGCTTTGGATTGCGTAATCGTTGCACTGTAGCGGTTCAGCGGCGGGCGGCGGGCGGCCGTAGCTGCGGCGCGCGGGACATCGTCAGCGGGTCGACCGGTTCCGGTGCCACTGGTACCGGCCGTCGTCCCGGAAGCCGCGCGACGGTAGAGGGGCGTCGGGTGTCGACGTGCGGCAATACAGCGCCGCGCGCGAGCGGCTCGGGGCAGCATAGGGACGCACGGGATGGAGTGACGAGTGGCTGGACGAGGCGGCGAGCGGTGCCGTCGGTGGGCCAAGTGGGTCGCGGCAGTGGGTGGTCGGGATGGCGGGAGACGCGCTGATTGGCGGAAAAGAAGACTCCCGCGCTTTTTGTACCCGCAGGTGGTTGATCCGCGTGTTTTTTTTGACACGCGGGGGACTTTTTGACACGTTGGAATTTGGACGGTCGGACGCGAGCAGTTCGGTAACAAGTGCTTTTTACGCGAGATAAAGGCAATGCGGGTGAGGTCGATTGCGCAAACACGCAAGGTATAAAAAGTGGAGGAAAGAGTGCACGCATGTTTCATATACGCTCGAGTGTGTGTGTGCATACTATAGAGTCCCGAAGGACGGAATGAGCGGCGAGTGTTTTGTACACACGACAACGTCGGCGGTCGCATTTGATTCTTTGACATCAATTAGAGACACGTTGACAGCGCTGGTGGTCCATATTGCTTCATGGTAATGGACAACAAGACCTGTTGCGTGCAGCCGTACCGCTCGACTACAGTTCGCCACAGTCGACGACCTCAACTTGATTTGCTGACAGTGGGCGGCCCGTGGTCCGGTCCACCTCCACATTTTGCATCGCGTCGACGACGTTCAGCCCCTCAACGACTTCGCCAAAAACCACATGTTTGCCATTCAGATTCGTCAGACCTGCTTTAGTGGTGATGAAGAACTGGACAAGCGGTTGAACAAAGCAGAGAGGAACGAGAGTGTGAGTGAGTAGTGTTATCACAACTTGTTAGCTCAGCGAGAGGGACTGTAGTTCTCAGTTGATTACATACCTGCGAACCGTTTGTGTTCTTGCCTGCGTTGGCCATTGACAGCAGCCCGACGTCGTCATGTGGTAGGAAGCGCTCATCCTTGAAGTTTCCCCAGAGATCCCCGTGCGCAGTTCCGCGGTAAATGCTTTGGCCGCCAGTGCCATCCCCTGTGGTGAAGTCTGGATACAGCCGCAGCGCAAAAGCTCAGCACTAGATTCTTGCATGAAAGAGACGCATGCTGAATAGCAGCACCTACCGCCGCCTTGGACCACAAAGTTCTTGATGATGCGGTGAAACTTGCAGCCTCGAAACGTAAGGATCCCGCCCTGCATCGTAGGTGCCAAGTCAGGTGTACGCAAACGATGTTTCGACAACATGCGTGTTTCGTACCTTTTCGCCCGTGCATAGGCAGCGAAAGTTCTCCGAAGCAAGCGGAACTTGGTTCTGCAGTAGACGCATGACGATCCTGCCCGCGGGAATGCCAGCTATCGAGATGTCCATGTAGACGCTGGGATCAGTCTCTTTCGTGACAAACTTCTTCTTGCGTTCTTGCAGACTCAAGCCAGCGTCCGCGACATAACGCTGAGCCAGCTTCTGAAACAGCTCGTCTTCCCGACCGCGGTACAGTTCCAGCGTCCGGTCGATGCTGTTCAACTTTTCAGGGTTGTACTTGGTGTAAAACTCTACCAGCCGATGTCGGATCGCATCATGAGACTCTTGAGGCAGTCCTGAACCTTCGACCTCTTCGCCTTTCGAGCTGTCACTGGGTACACCCCGATCCCCTCCGTCCGTTATCGTCGGACTAGAGTCCAGCCCATAGCCTCTCTGCAGCAATTTCGCTGCCAGACTCGATTCCACACGGTCTGTCTCTGCCTGCACGAACCGTTTCGCTTCACCAATTGTAGCAGCTTCCTCGAGCAACGACTGGCGCTGTTGGCGCCACGACTGCTGCGAACGTATCCGAAATGCCGTGTGCGACTCAGTGTCCGAGCGAATGGACCCAATAGAGCTGTTCAAGCGGTTTGAACCGTCGCACGAGCTGAGCTCTTTCTTCGCCTTACTCTCTTGTGCCGCTCGCTCGAGTTCGTCCAGAACGGGCGCACGCCGAAGCGCTTTTCCGGCCTCCCACGCGTCGCGAGACTTTTTCTGAAACGCTGTGGCCATTGCCCCACTTTCAGGATCCGTTGTGACGGTCGTTGTATCGCCCATTGTCCAGCGGTCCCACTAGTACGAAGCCAAACACGCGAATCGATCATACAGAGCAGAGCGGGTGTAGGCAACGAATTGGTCAGCAAAGATCACATATACGCACTGAATGCTACGTACGGGAAAGAGCTGTAGCGGATGTCGCAGTAGCTCTTCCGCATCTTTCATTGGTTTGTACGGCGCCCGACGTTTTCGTAAGCCATCCGACGCGGGGCTCAATCCGTGCGTATACACGCTTCAGTTTCAAGCACTGTATACATTTGTCCGACCGTGGCCATCGTACCAAAAAACACAGCTGTGCTTCGCTGTCCTTTGTTACAAGTCACTCACTCCACGCCCGTGATTGGTCCGAATCAGCGGGTGGTGCAGAGCTCGTCACGCCAAGAGCTCTTCCGAACAACGAACTGCTGCGGCAGCACTGGCACTTCATTCCTCTTTCTGCGTCACGTCGTCTTGTCGAGTCGCGCGTGCACTATGGTGTTTGAGAAACCCGTCGTCGTCGACTGCCGTGGCCACCTGGTCGGCCGCCTCGCGTCGCTCATTGCCAAAGAACTGCTGCAGGGGCAGCACGTGGTGGCTGTGCGCTGCGAGCAGCTCGAGATCTCTGGATCGCGTACGTCTGCCTGACCCCAAAACTCTGTAGCTGTCGACTGTGTCTTTTGTCGTTCGTCTGCATCTCAGTCGTAGTTGGTCCACCTGCACTGCCTCGGGAACGAGTAGCCGCTTTTCTGTGGAGAGAGTAGCGGGTCTCACTTTGTCGAGATCACTTGAGTGTGCGAAGGAGTGCTGTCCATTGAGTGTGTCGTTGATCTTCATGATCAGTCGCACGATTGTCGCCAGTAGTCGATTGGTTCGGATGGACTCTATGAGCTCGCAACTCGATCAGTTTCTGACTTGCTCACTGGCTTCGCGCTTGAGGTCCCACGCAGTCCCAAAGCTGTAAAGCAGCCAGCGAAAAGAGCTGACCTCTGCGCCGCGTGTCTTGAGGCGCAAGTGGATGAAAAGTAAAGAGCTGATGGAGTGCGAGGGAGAGTCACTCGAGACGAGACGTGACTGGTGGCCACCTCCTGAAACATGCAAAAGTCGCTGCGTGCAGACACCCTGTCGAGCTACACGACGTTGCGAAACGTTTTGTAGGGAGACAGTGGTGATCATGCCGTCTGCCTGGAAGTGTGGGTGGAACTGGAGAATGGATTGCTCATGTGATCTGCTCTTGCTTCCGCTATACTATACAGACGTGCGCAACAAAGTCAAGTTCTTGCAGTTCTTGAACAAGCGAACGGCCACGAACCCAAAGAAGGGTCCGATCCACTACCGGGCACCGTCTCGTATGCTCTGGCGTACGATCCGAGGCATGCTGCCTCACAAGACGGCCCGTGGTGCTGCCGCTCTGCAGCGCCTGAAGGTAAGCAGGGTATAGGAAATGGGTACCGAATTGGTTGGTTGTGGGTGACTAACGTGAAAGGCAATGAATGAATGGGCTATGTAGGTCTTTGACGGGATCCCGTCTCCGTATGACAAGCAGAAGCGTATGGTCATTCCGGCTGCTCTGCGTGTGCTGCGCCTGAAGGCGAGCCGCCGTTTCACTGTCCTGGGCAACCTCGCGTCGGAAGTCGGCTGGCGCCACGCGGAGCTGGTCAAGCGCCTCGAAGCCAAGCGTGTGGTCAAGTCGGATGCCTTCTACAAGAAGAAAGTTGCGCAGCAGAAACGTCTGGCCGAGGCGGAGGCCAAGGTGCTCACTGACAACTCGGAGCTCAAGCCTACGCTTGCCATGTACGGACACGCTCTTTGAGTCGGGGTGCGTCGGCGCGTACACGATTGCAACCAGAAGTAGCAACTGCGTGACATATTCTCATGACAATGGAAACGTTTGAGGAAATTCTACCATTGCACGAACGAAGCAGATATGTTGTCGCTCTGTAGTCATGTTTGTAAAGTGGTCTCTCTATCTACGTTGATGGATGTGTAGAATCAGTCTACTAGACTCTGGTGAGGGTGCGTCAGATCTCTCCTTTGCTATTGCGAACACCATTGGAAGCCCAATGACTTTGCGTTACAACCCGTCGAAAGCGCTAAACTTGTCCCCACTTTGCTGCTGCGGTTGTGCGTATTGACCGGTGTAACCAGGGGCGGCTTGGATCTGCAGCACCTGCCCCGGTCCAGCAAGCCCCACGTTGGTTTGATCATAGCCGCCACTGCGTAGGGGATCTTGGTGTTGCAGGCCGTATGGAGTCATTTGCAACATGCCCGGATTGTTCGGCTGCAGCTGTTGTGCCGCCATCATTCCAGTACTTATACTTTGACCGTAGGGCACCATGCCTTGCTGCAACCCCATTGCGTTAGGCTGTACACCCAGAGCAGTCTGGCTCGCGTATGCTGACTCCACACCACCGCTTGAAGACATGCTCATGCCGCCAAACATGCCCCCTCCAACGCCTGTAGAAGCGGGGGCAGCAGGCAAAGCAGCCACCAGACTTCCTGTGTCAAGAAGGTCATTGGGTGCGCTCGACGACTGTGCGAAAAAGCGAATACGACAATTGCGAGTGAGCCACTAGACACATGTTACAGATAGCCAGCGCACACGCACCTTGATAGCAGCCGAGTCGATGCAAAGCAAATCGGCGTTCCCATCATCCTTCTTGCCTGCTCGGCGATTTGACCGTGCGGTGCCCTTCTTGCTCACCCGGCGGCGTGTTGAAGTTGGTTCCGCACGCTCGGTTAGTGACTCACGGTGGCCAGCTGAGCCACGCCGTTCTGCCCCGGAGCTCACAGTTCTACTCCTGCCAGAAGGTGGGCTCGACTTGCCCAGATAAAACGGATCGTCCGAATATCGCTCGGGCTTCTGATTCGTGGCCTCGGGCTGCTTCTTCTTCGCAACATACTCTTCGGACAGCAGTTTGTTAGCTGCCGCAGCGCCTGACTCACGCTCCTTCGAAGCCTCTGCGGCACGAATAGCACCGGACATACCCGATGCTGCAGTGATGCCTGTCGCCACGCTGTGGACCGAACTTTCAGACGTAAACGACTTGTCACGTTCGTTGATCACGGCCTTCAGCATGTCCTGAATCTTCTCGCACACCATGTCAAACTGTGCGTTGCTCAAACTCTTTTCCCACAACAGCGGAGCCACCGCAGGAATAATCAGCGTTGCGGCAAACTCTGGACCGAGGTGTTTGCCGAGGTTGTCGTAGCACCCAAGGATGCACATGCATGCGGCGGGTGTCTTGTCAGCTTGAAGAGTCTGCTTTAGCGTAGGCAGTACGCTCTCAATGAGCAGATCCTTGTCAAACACGTGGAACGACTTTGCCAACCAGAGCAACGCATTGATCCGCACAGATGGTTGCGGTGGAGAAAGAATGACCTTGTTCACCCGTGGCAAAATCACCTGCTTTAAGATGCGGTACTCGAACAAACTGGCTTGATCCACAATCTTGTTCAGCACCGTGTCAAGAATTTCAGGCACAGTGCTGTCGAGTGCACGGCACAACATCGGAACAATGTGGTCGCGAATGTAGCCGTCTTCGGCTTTTGGGATGAGCGTTTCTAACTCCGACACAAACATCAGCATGCACTGAACCGGCTCGGCTATCGCCAGCAGCGGGATCATCATTGGCGCGATCGAGTACGAAAAGGTCTGCTTGTCGACCTTGGCCACGATCTTGAGCAGCGGCGTGATCACAAACGGAGCCACGGCCTTGTTGATCACCACTGAGTGAAGCCCCGGGATAACCATGTCACGCAGCACACGCGGCGAGAAGCCGTCGATCGCTTCAGGTAGCGTCGTCAGAAATTTTGCCTGTGCCGCCGGCTCCAGTTCAACTAGACTTTGCAGCGTCCGGAGTGTTTTGATCGGACCCGAATCGAAGAACGGCGATGCTAGAAATGCACGGGCTTCAGGACGCTGCGTCGGATCCAACGATAGCAACGAACGGATCGTGTTCTGCAACGCCGTCGGGACCGAGGGTGGAAACGCGATTGGATGCAGCGACTGTACCTTGTAGCCATGCGTCATCTTGTTCCCATCGCGTACGTCAAGCACGGGGTTGCGTCCTCCATCTGCGCGTGGCGGCACAAAGAGCTCATAGACGAGCAAACCCAGTGCAAACATATCTGCTTTGCTGTCGAACCGCCTCGGTTCGGTCACCAACTCTGGGGCACAATACTCGAGCAACGGTTCCCAGCTTCCCTCAATGACTCCCGTCACGGGATTTCGGCCCCCCGTCGACGCATCTCCGCCGTAATATTCACTCCTTGAGGTCTGTCCAGGCTCAACGACCCGACAAAAGCCCATGCCAGCAAGCTTCCACTCGCCCTTGGGTGTAATAAAGACACTCTGCGGTCCGAGACTCAGATGCACGCGACGGCCTTCTCGGTGCAAAAAACTCAGCGCTTCGCCCACGTGCATGAGGCCACAAGCGAGCTCAAACTCAGTCAAGCCAATCTCCAGCACCTCTGGCGTCACGTTCAAGATGTTGCTAAAGTTCTTGCAGGCATTGGCCAGCGAGCACGTGACGCGCTCGGTCACGAAACAGAGCGAGCGTCGGCTCTCTTCATAGACCTCTTCGACCTTGAGCACGTGCGGGTGCCGCAGCACTCGGAGCGTCTTCATCTCCTGCCGCAGGATCTCGAGCACGCGGTCCTGCGCGGCTTTGTTCTTGAACCGCTTGAGCTCTTCTTTGTCAAAGAGAAAGACACTGTACTCGTGATTGGTCTTGCGATGGACCGCGGGGAAGATCTTCCACAGCAGCTCGTGGCCCCCCGACGCCGTGCAGTCCCGAGGCGTCTCGTAGTGCTTGAGGTACTCTTCGCTTAGCAGCCCCTGGAGGTTCTGGGCGCCCGAGACGGCTGCGGACGCGGCGCCGGACACGGCCGTGTGGACGGCGCTGGAGAACCGATTGAGCATGTGGCGTGTTGGTGTGTGGTGGGCTGAGTTTATTCTTAGGGGTACGGCGCTGATCGGTTTTATTTCGTTGGGTTATTTTTTACTGTAAATTGGGGTTTGATGGGCTGACGTGCAGCGGGGCGAGAGCTTTGTATTGAGAAATGGTGCGGTTGTATGGGGTTTATGGATACAGTGCGAGGAGATTCCAGGAAAGCGGATGACGAGATGAGAACGACTTTGCCGGCATCTGTCGATACTTCGGTATTGAAATGGGCTGACGAAGGCGGTAAGGAGTAAGCTTAGCGTATACCTTGGGGTGGCCAAAAGGTGCTCGAACACTTGCGGAGCTTCCAGCGAGAAGTGCGTATGAGCGGTTGCGACAGAGTGGAAGAGGAGGGATTCATACTGAACATAATAAGACGGCCGCTACACCTGTTCACGATTGTCTAGTGCGCAATACTATGCGCTCACGGTGACGGTCGCGATGAGTCCAAGCGTCCTGGCAAAAGTTGACATCATGACTTTGTGATAGGGGAAGCAAGCTAGTCCGCAAAAAGTAGACATCTCGTTGATAGCTGGTCTTTTGCTTCTCGGTTGATAGATGGATATTAGACTGTGGCATTTCGCAGATCTCCTGATACACGGTAGCTCGCAGCCGTAAAACGTCTAGCTTTTTCCTTATCCAAGCGGTAATTGCAGATTCTTATAAGCACTGTTTTCAAGCGTATAGTCGCTATAACAAAGCAGCTCTTAGCAGCGCGACCTTGCGAGCAGCAATTATGTGCTTACATCTCAATAGGGTTGGCCTCATCCCATAGCTCATTTCTTTGCCATGTCACCACATAATGTGTAGGGCGTATGGTTGCCCTCCATTACGACTAAGTAAAACTTTGATCAAGCTATGAATCATGAGCAGGTTAAACACCTTTTTGCATCACCGACATGATAAATCAGTTTCATTGGCAAAGAGCGAAAATCATGTAATAGCAGGACCCGCGTGCAAGACGGCATAGCATGTAAGCATTTTGCCACCCACAGTTCGCTGATTACCTTTGTACCTAGTTACAAAGCCGGCGTGTCCACCGATAAAGAGAAGGATGTATGTACGAAGGTCGCAGCATCAGCCAGACCGACTATGCTTATATTCTAAACAATGTCGTCATCACATCCTTCGACACCAACTTAAGTAACGCCGTAATTAGTGCACACACCAGTACATATATTGGATCGACGATCCTGCTTTGCAATGGCATTACCGCGCAACAGACGAAATATATCGGCAAGCATCGACTCGAATGGTAGCCAGATGACACGCAGCGTCTTTTAGTATAAACGACCGTAGCCTCAGCCATCGACTAGGTCAGCGAGTAAAAGTCAATAGGTCAATGTTTGGCACCTAAACGTAACTAGTTGCGGTAGACGAGCGGAATACTTCAAGCTTCGTCGTGTTGTGATGACACCTCTCGGTGCAAGAAGGCTGCATCCATGAAACGCTGTATATCGTCGAAAATGAAATTCATCTTGACGTAAATTGCGTGTGCGCATTCTTGTCAGCTGTAGGTGCCAACAATGATCAAATTCGATCTTGGCATGAGAGTGATCTTGCATCAACCGGTGTCTATACTGTGGCCCATATATGCACGCTAAAACATGTTCTGTCCATTGTGGTTCGTGTTGCGCCTACAGTAGCATCTCTTCGTTCTTGTCCTTGGGTTCGTGCTAGACATCAATGTATACTAGTTTTTGTGCGCCAGACACCCGCAATGGAAATCGCACAATTTTGACACTAAGCTGCTACATTTACACTCTCGCCGCAACACTTCTCCGCTTCAATCACCTCATACGTTTAATGCGTTTATCTTGGTTGGTAGTGAGGAGCGCAGCAGAACTATAATGAAGCCATAGGGCTCGAATAGTACGAGAAAAAAATCAACCGTCAACTTCAAATGAATTGTGTGTCACCATCGACGGCTTTTCACCGAAGTAGCGTAATGCGTGTAAATATGATGTTCTTTCATCGAGAAACAGTCCGTCGAGAAACTGTTCAGAGCCACGATTGGTGGTGTGTAGGCTAGCTGGACTTCATCAGCTTTTCATGCTCGACTGGGCTAAAACAGGCTTGTCATGAATGATCCTACAGATGTGTCCACTCGTCACGACTCCTCTTCTTATTGACGCCTGTGTCGCTTGTGATGTCTATAATAGGTGCTCTTGCGGTAGCAAATTACTTTTTATCGTCGATACGAAGCATTAGTCGGTTTAAACACTGACTAGGTGGTGCTGTGGGTTGTGAACGTCATGTGGTACATACTGTATATGGGGGTCAAGCTTGCTGGAAATGCCGGTGCGAGCATCAACGTACTTGCGACGAATGTTGATTGCGTTGTTGCTTTCTATAAGTACGGTAGTCAAGACGACAAGCTTGCACAAATATAAGGACGGACCTGGTCTACTATTTCCCGATAGCTCGTGGTGCGGCCAAAAGGGATCAATATCGTCGATGTAGCTCCGGGTTTTGACTGCAAGCAATCTGCCCCACATGAATTGGCCGGATGCCCGACGTCGTCTCTGCGATAAACGAGTCGGTGTAGTCGACTCGTTTACCAGAAAGAAACAGACTCGGCTTATTGGCAGCCATGCTTCGGTTTGTCTGTAGTAATTGTCATACTACAGACACGTACATGGCAGGACATCAGCCGCCAATGGATGTGTCTGAGGTGATAGGCGAAACTGCACTGCTGAACGTCACGCACTGAACAAAGGTCAAAAGTGGTGACAAGTTATTAAATTGAACACAAAGCATTGAAAGTATGCGGCTGCATCTGGACGCTCTCTGCTCTTTCGGCGCTGTCCAGTCATCGTTTGACCGTATCTATGCCATTCAAGTCGTTCATGTACGCAGAATAAAATGTATGTCTTCACCAAGGCAGTTTCTCACGCACCTGTGCCGTTTGGTGAGTACATAAGCGGATTGTCCTGGAATCGGATCAACTGGCTGAGCACTCTTCACGTCCTTTCATTGTTGGTCACCGCTCGTTCTGTGGCATCTGTTACAATGATGCTGAAGCACATGCATAAAGATGCGATGACTGTCCTTCTTCCTGGAGTGCACGAATACAAACATGACGACCTATCGATGACTGTAGCTGCTCTTTTTACAAGGGCATTCTGGTCACTCAGCAATGCCGAGTTATAAAAAACGCTTCAAACTTACTGCCGACGCCGTCCTGCTTCAATCAGTTGTTGCCAACTTTCTTTTACAATGGTGCACTGACCTCTCACCAGAAGCTGCGCTGCTGATGTGGCGCTCAATGTATGGTAAAATCGCTGTGGAAAAGGCATCGGTAGCGAATGTGCTTCAGCACGACCTGTGACTATTGCTTCTCAGCACCAAATGAAGCGAGTCAGCAAGTACATGTATCGTGCCATAACTTGGTCTATGCGCTTTGGTGCGCAGATGCGACTCTGTCGAACGCGACAATCAAGCCACGTAACAGCCGTTGGTTTGCTCGAAAGGGCTACAGCTAACTTGACGTTGTGTAGAGGAAGCGATAGGCCTGGGTTGACCAGTCAGCCACGTTACAAAGCAGGCCACGTCTTATCTACGGAGCACACTTGACAGTCACCAGCGCATGACTCCAGTAGAGTCGTTAGAAGCTAATCGGTCAACGCAGCTACGGGTTGCAAATGAAAACAAAGACTTGCTTTGCACAAGGAAAAGATCAGCAGAACTTGCAATGCCGATACGCCACGAAAAATGCGTGCCCCAGAACTCGTTTATGTTCGTGGCTGTTTAAAGTCACTCTAGTGCTCTCCATGGAAATTGACAAGCGGCGTCTTTGGATAATGCTTGATCGCGTCTGCATCCCTTTACATAGCGGAAAGTATGGTATATAACTAGTTGCTCTGTGCATGTGAACACGATCGACGCACTACCGTACACGGTACAGCAGCAAGTCAAGGACTGGCTCGAACAAAAGCGCAAATAGACCCGAACGGCAAAGTCGCAAGCAAGTTCCGACTTCGTACCCAAAAACACGCTCACTCGGTGTACCTCAGACGGACAAGTACATCTGAATGGTCTCTCAAAGGTCATGTCGTCGGACTTTACTCTGACGAGAAGCAGTGACCAAAGCTAGAAACAGCACTTGACTCTCTCTTGTATACGGCACCGTCTACTGGTGGGCAGCACCAACAGCATCGACTACGCTCTCGTAGCCGTCGCGACGTAACAGCGCAGCCAACTCTTTCTTGGCCCGTGGAACAGCCAGCGGACCGTCGTAGATCAGACACGAGTACATCTGCACGAGCGAAGCTCCAGCTCGAATCTTGTCGTACGCATCCTGGCCAGTCGAGACACCTCCAACGCCAATGAGCGGGACTCGACCCTCGGTCAGTTTGTACATGTCTCCCAGCACCTTCGTAGACAGGTCCCGCACAGGTAAGCCGCTCAGCCCACCCGCCTCGCCCTTGGCAGCCCCTTGTAAGGTATCGGGTCGACTCAGCGTTGTGTTGGACACCACGAGACCATCTAACTGCAGGTCAAGCGCGACTTGCGCAATGTCCTGCTTGTCTTCGTCCGTCAGGTCTGGCGCAATCTTCACGAGCAGCGGAATCTCGCGCCGTTCCGACGCAGCGACTTCGTTTCGAGCCCCCAGCACACGCACAAGGAGACTTCGCAGCTCAGTACGTCCCTGCAGCGCACGCAGACCCGGTGTGTTGGGCGACGACACATTGACCACCAAATAGTCGGCGTACCGACCGAGCGCGCGCACACCGCGCACGTAGTCGGCCGCAGCGTCCTCTGTCGTCTTGTTCTTTCCTAGATTGACACCCACTACACCTGTACGATGTTTGCTACTGCTCTGCGCTCGACGCTTTGCTCGAGAACTCGTGTAGTCGGCCAGACGAGCGCCAACGTACTCGAGGCCTTTGCTGTTGAAGCCGTAGCGGTTGATCACGCCCCTGTCCTCGCACAAGCGAAAGACTCGCGGGCGGGCGTTCCCCGGCTGTGGCTCGGGCGTGACACTGCCGACCTCGACACAGCCAAAGCCCATGTCCAACATGCCCTGCACGGCCTCTCCGTCCTTGTCAAAGCCCGCAGCGATCCCCAGTGGGTTCGTGAACTCAAGACCCAGTACTTTGACGTGCAGCAGCTCGGGGTCTGCCTCCCGGTCCCGTGGCGTCAGACCCACGCGCGCGCACTGCACTGCCATCTGGTGCGACACTTCGGGGTCGAACCGCCGAAGGACAGGCAGTAGGGGCCCCGCCAGCTGTCCGACGACCCACTCGTGCGGCGCTACGCCGTTGTAGGCGGCCACGACAGCCATTGCAGCGCCCCCGCCAATGGCTACATACGCAGCAGTGTGGAAGCGCGAGGACGACGAGGACGAAGAAGAAGAATGCGATGAACAAGACGATGACAAGGAGGCGGTGTGTCTTCGAGAGGATGTGGTCTGAAGCGTTAGGACGCGACGATATGCGCGACGCATTGCGAGTCGATCGTCGCGTAGATTGAAGGGCGAGAGCAGCACAAGCGCGCGGGAAATCGGCTTTGGAGCAGTGTGTGGATGGATGGGAAGGGAAGGGATGGGAAGGGATGGACCGATGAGGTCAATGGACGAAAGGTGCGGGCAGTGTCTATGTGTCAGTATGTGCGACGATATATTGACGTGTACAGGTATCTGTCATATAGGTCTACGTCGTCATGTGGTGTCTATTTGGTAACGTGTTCATGCGTCTAGGAGGAAACCCAATGGGTGTTGGAGTGGGTATGGCAATGGGTATTGCAGTGGGTATTGCAGTGGGTAGTTGCTGGACGCGAGCGCCAGTCGGCCAGTCAGGTGAACAGCGCGTGAAGATGGCCTTCGCTTCGTCTGTGACACGGATTGTCGCCAGTGTGACATTCACCGGACGAGGTTTGAGGCGGCACGACACCTCTACGCCGGGAAGACGAAAATTCTACTGCACTCTGACCCAATGCGTCGCCGTGACGACCCGCATACTTATCATCGAGCTGTCAGCATCAGGTCAAATATAAGCGTCTAACTCTGTGCGCGCGTCTGCTGATGTCCGGAGGTTCCCACGGCATAAGCGGTGTCACTCATCATGCGCCGTTCAGCCTCATTCCCTGTCGACAGACGTCCGCATCGGCCTTGCGCGAACGCACGCGGGGAAGCACGCGCAAGATAAAGCGCAGAGGCAGTAAGATGCTGATCTGTCTGGACAGTGCACGGTGTAGCAACGCGCGGACTCGTTCACCTCCTGCATAAGCGGCCCAGATCATGCCACCCTTTCCTGCGACCAGAAGCACAGACAAGAGCAGTCATCTCTACTGTCACGCAGTGTCCTTCCTTTTCCTTCCGCTCAAATGGGACCGGTGTCCAACGTAGGAACAACTCAAGCCGTGGCCACTTCTCTCACCTACGTCGAGTCTGCTGTGTGTGTATCGCACCGAATCCGCCGACGCACCACACAGGTATCCGCTCGACGTGCTCGCCCAAGTGCGTCGGCGGGTTCGGTTGGGCGAACACGTCGAGCGGATGTCTTTGTGCGCAGAACAGCAGAGTGACAGTTGTGATTGCTGGACGAACGCGGTCATTCACGACGCGTTCAAGAATCGCTCCGTTCGACCCTCTCTCGGTTTTCCGTTGTATACCCAAACTGCGTGGTCCATATATGAAAGACGGACAACTTCCACGCTTGGACAAAGCCCCGCTTGGACAAAGCCCCGCTTGGACAAAGCCCCGCTTGAAGTCAACAACCTGATCAGCCCCTCCGCCTGCTCGTGTGTAGCGGTAGGCGCCGTCGTCGCACGTCCTACCGAATTGCCACATTTTGTCCTTTCGCGCACATGTTGTAGGGTCTTGGCTGCATCCCAACAAAAACATCTCTTGTTGTCCAGCAGGTTGTACGTGTTGCATCTACATGCCGCCAATGTAGGTAGGATAGCTTTGCAGCCGTTGTCGTTGCTCGAAAAGACTGTCGTGCACGCCAGTAGCTTTTTCCTGCTTTTGCCCCTTCTTCGAGGACCGATCATCACAATCGAAGAGTCGATGCACTCAACAGATGGAAAAGGCGGTCTGACAGGTCTCTCCACAAGCCGTCGGGTTTATGGCATCTCTCATCTGCAGTCAGACAACCCGTGAAACTGCCACGGGGATCTGAACTGCCATTGGCCTCGTCTGGATGCGCATACGATGAAAGTCCCTCCTGGGTATGTGCACTAGCAACCTGTTAATGTGCTCGACTGCGACCCAGCACACAAATTGAGCACGCGAGAGAGAATCTACTCGACACTCCTTCGTTGCGGTGTCAACCTCACCAAGTCGCACAGCGCGAAGACCGGGGCTGGGCATTTTGGAGCCGCATTAGTACAGCATGGAAAAGAAATGTCCAAGCGCGAGCACGTCGAACATGACGCCCCTGTAGACTTGCCCATCGTTGTACGGGTGTTGAACTTGCAAAGCGCCCTTCGCGCTTCGGTCCGAGATATGATGCTATATGCTGAAAAGCGTGGAAGAGCTATGGAGGGATGCGTACGACTGGTCGCAAAATGTAAGGGGAGTTAGTGAGCCACTGGAAGCGAACAATGTCATGCAATGCGCATTGCCGTACGACCCATTGCGCACTTGCGTGTGGGTTTTACCTAAAGAGGACCGGACAAAGCTATCAACCATGTTGTCGCATCGCACATAAGTGTTAGACAGTCTTGCGTCTCGACGAGGATGCCACTCGCTCGCTCCTCCCTAACTGTCAACTTGGGTCCTACGGGATCGTAAGAATCAAACAAAGCACACAGTACGGCGAGCCAGCATTGTTGGACCGTTCCTGTTACCTTGTGCACCCATTGCCGCCAGCTGTTGGATGACGCAACTGCTTTCGCCGCAACCGCTGGTCTGGTCGAATTGTTTACAAGTCTCCCGAGCTCTTCACGATGGGCATTGTAGTCCCTTCTGTTGTTCCGAACTCGTTTGCATCATTTCAAGAAGAATACGAGAGTGCCAGCCAAGAGAGGTATGTTGTAAAGTATTGGCCCGACGGCGATTTTACCGACTGTCTCTCCTGGCGTACTCGTATATGTTCCATGTGTGTACAATACCGTACTGAGGAACCATGTCTCAAACATCGGTGTGCGCATATCCGTGCGTCATCTCCGAGAGGGCGTGGCCGTGTAAAAAGCCGGCTCACGAAGGGGAAGGCTGTCCACATTTGAGATTACCCCCTTTTATCTCTTGAACAAAAGCTGATCTTGAGTTTAGTGTCGTTCTTTCGGGCTTGTACCTACTACCAGTATTTGTAAATGCCATAGAAGCGGTCACAAAAACGTTTCTCATTGTGCAATCTACCCGGCGAGCAACAAGCGCCATCAAGATGCGTGCACGCCGCCTCGCGTTCTTGATCTTCGTGTTTGTGGCCGATATCTCGCTCGATGTCGCTGCTATAGACCTGAGCAGCACGCCCCGTTTGAAAGCAACTACACCCCTTGCAAGAAAAGTAACAAACCTCTACAATGCAGCTATGAACAACCACACAGTTGCCGAGCAGGACAACGAGGAAAGGGGACGTTGGACACCGAACATCTTTCGTGGATGGTTTGGGTCGAAGACTAGCGACTCAGCCCTTCGCTACACCCAGTTGCCTGCTACACTAGAGAGTGCTGAGCATGCTAAGTTTACGGAGTGGGTGAAGAAGTATGGCATCCGAGAGGAAGAAAGCGGCAAGGGGGTGGCTCAAAATAGTCGCTTGTTGGATGATGATGATGATGCGCAAGTCGCCGTCACAATGCGCCTAGTCGAGAATAGTCTCGTTGACATGAAGAACAACAAGGCATCGACCGACGTTCAGCTACGATTCTTTGAATGGCTTCGAGAAAGACCCGCCACGGAACGTCACGCTCATAATTTCCTGCGATTGTACTGCAAGGAAAACGTAGTGGCAACGCAAGAAATTTTCAAGATGTGGCGTGAGAAGGGCGTGCATCCCGACAAGTTATTCGACATTGTCCGCCCGTGGGACAATGGAATAGAACTGTGGCTTAGTTACACCAAGCAGTTCTTAGTGTCGTATGAAGATGTTAAGACGTACGTCGTCAGGGTGGCCGATGACATTGTGAAGACTTGTCCGAACGACAAACTCCTGGATTATGCCCATGAGTTTGAAGAAGTGCACAATAAGTACCTCGTCGACTTTGCCTGGGCGATGCAAAAAAGGTTTTTTGGTCGCATGATCGACGAAGGTGTCAAACCTTCAAAAGTCGGATGGAAATTCTTAAGTGGTGGTGGAATTATGCCCTCGGAGAGTGACGCCAAGTTCCGCATTTTCAGAAAATACACCGAACAGTTTGCAGCTGATAAAGATGCAAAGCATGCAGCTGATGAAGATACAGGGCATGCAACTGCTGAACGTATCAGGTATGTGGACATAGCGAGAGATTGCTTTAAACCTAATACTCTGAAAGCATTGAGAGATGGTGTGAAAGAGGTGGAATTGTGAGTGCATCGTGGCAGTGGAACCTTCACATCAAATAGATCAGTTGATCGATAAGCTAAGTGCATTTGAGTGTAGGCATTAAGATAAATAATGATCTCGACGATGCGTACTTAAAGCATGCGCCTAGGCAACATTTACTTATCTGTGCTCAGTATATGCTAGTGTCGATTGACCACTATGTCTTTGTGTGCCATTTTACCTCGTCTCAGCATAATTTGTCGCTGCTTTATAATGGTAACACGAGTTTGCTATTTACATTGTACGCTAATTATCGAGGTCCGAAACAAACCGCATTGATATGTTAAATTAATTTGTCCTGTTATTCGATGTTGACACCATATAAGTCAATGCAAATGTTATCTAAATTTTCAGTTTTCTCCAATATTTACTTTGCTACGCAAACATTGGATGAATGTAGCCACTGAAGGTAAATCTAACACCGCTCCACCCATTGGTTAAAGCAGGTCATCATAGCAAGCAATTAAAACACAGATATCTGCTAGACAAGCGCAATGGGTTCATAAAACTACTGTTGCCACCTCGAGCTCATGAAAGGGAAGCAAACAAAGAACAAGGTCTTCTAAGATCCAACTAGTGGGTAATATATGATTGTATTCTCACTTAAAATGATTATGAAACGCCGCGGTCCACACAACAAATGTTACGCCGATCACGCGTTTTTAAGTCCTATGATCAGTAAAACTATGAAAAAGACCCCTCCAGTGATGCATTTATTCCGTCACTGCATCATCAACTTCGCCAACTTTCAACAGTGAGGGTAAGTAAATCGCTATAGTCGAAAGGTGTCGTTTCATCTCGTAAAAGTAAGACAAAGGGGTATATTTTTCTATACCTGAGCTACAAATCGACACACAATTTTATACTTTTACCGTTTATTAAGCGTTTTCATTTATTAATTTTCCTTCATCTGCACGCATTGGGTACATGAGGCATGAATGCACCAATCTACACCACAGTCAGTGTCAGTGCCTTGTACGGATCCTGTCTAAGCGTCCGACGCCCCCTTTACATCATTATATCTTTTTAAAGCGCAAATATTACTTTTCCATATCTTTCGTCGCAGACCATCGCTGTCATGATGCCTGCATCGACCAAATACGATGGTCTAATCGAGGTGGACGAGACAAACACAATCGCGCATATACATTAGTTTCCATTCATTTGAGTGTCCAAATGCGTAGACACTGCGCAAAAAAAGGTACGTTACCTCGAATAATGAAACAAATATACGATTGCACTGCATGTAAGTTGCAGCGCTCGCCATAATTTTCACACTAGCGGTAGCATTGACACAATATCGAATTTTTTCTCGATGGTCACGTTGAGTATTTATTTGCTCCTCTTTACCATGGCGTGCAGAAGCAAATGACCGTTCATTTTTCCACGAACACGATTTGACCGGGTCTGTGACCGAGCTGTTGTTATCTCTGTGTTGCGTCAACCTTCTAGCTAGCACTCGTTGGTACTGACCAAAAAGGAAAACCCCAGAAGTATATACCTTGACACGCGATGGTATATATTCCCTAGCTTAGCTCTCTCTGTAGGACTTGCCTTGCGCTTTGCACTTTTCGACTGAGCTTTTCATGCATGCGGTTGCAGCTAACCTGCGAATCGCCGCTTTCGTTTGTTGGCTCGTCCCTTCGTCGACTCGCCGTTCTGATATTCGCCGTGGCTTATGTCCCTTAATTCGACCAACGGTGACAGAGCTTGAGATGTTTCAACGGTTACAAGTTGAGAACGTATCACAGCCCAACGGTGACCGAACTTGAGATGCTCCAAAGGTTTCAAGTTGGGAACGTATCACAACACGGGCACAGGTAGCTACACAGCGTTGTCAGTACGTAGCAAGCTTCCACTCGCTACTGTGAGAACTTGTGACCTTTTTTGATATGCGTACATAGACGCGTTCGAGCAAGACTTAGAAATAAGCACTAGAGCTTAGCAAAAGAAAAAGAAAACTTTATTGATAGAATTAAGTCCATAAAATATGTCTCATCTTTTGGTCCTGTATTTACTATTTATATGTCAAAGTATGCCTAGTGAAGTCTACTTACCACCCATTAAGCGCGTCTGGAAGCGATTGATGAGTTGATATTGTGTTATATCGACAAACGAGTATACCCCAAATGATAATATTATGTAACAGGCTCGCCATGTAATGGTATCGATCCGGTTAATCGCGATGTAATACAAATATTAATATAATTTTTAGGCGATGCATTAAAATACGTTTTTTATGAAGGATACAACATGATTCATTTTTATTATAACATACGATAGCCTCTTTCGTTAAATCAATGGTTCGCACCTGGTAATATTCAACGTGTGCCACAATAAACGAACAATAGTAATCTTACTACGCTTAGAGCATAAATTTACCTCATAAAATACTAAATACAGTTTTCGGATATTAGATATATGTATGCCATGTACCTTACAGGATTAAACAATAATGAGAAACGTTCAGAAACTAAAAACAAGCTAGTTGCATTTATCTGCGATATGTTGCTTTCATATTTGGCCTGTGTTGGTATACTTTGGACGATAGGTACCATAATATTGGTGCCTTCTTCTGGACGTACATAAAATGCAGTGTTTTAGTTACAGGTTACGCACTGATGAAGGAACCGCAGTAATCACTGCATGTAACTAGTAGCGCTTATGAGCCTAATCTTTACAGATCTAACTAGGTATTTTATACCATAAGAATAAATGACTAGACTGTCTGTTGTGCGCATATTTTGATGTAACACAGCTTAATCACGTATAATTAGCTTTGCTTTGTAAGATTCAACGATATGATGATCGGCGAATGCGCGCACAGCTGTCAAAAATAATACGAAATTAGGGTAGTGGCAGGTTACTTTGAATCACGTTATCAATTCGCGAAGTTGTAGAACGTTGTTGTAAAAGCATCTGTAATAAAAATTTAAATGCAACAATAAATATATAAGTACACATTTACTGATTATAAGCAATTTATGTTTTTTGTGTGATGCAGAAATATCTCTCTGCTTTCATGCTAACAGGATTACTGCTGTCAATAAAATTGCAAGGCATTTCAACTGTGATGAAGTATTTTTTAAAAATGATAGACCATGAGCTCATCACGATGGAGGTACAAGAGGCCACCCTCAGGGAAGAGGTGCCCGAGATGGAAGAGCCAAGAAAGTGGATGGACCTTTACATGAAACGGTCCCGCAGAACAAATTAAGGGGAAGTTCGTTGCCAAAGCACCGGTTAATCAAAAGTGTCTGGAGACGACCCCGGTCCCTCGTTTACACGGTCCCTCATCGGCGGAAATGGGTCCCTCACTGGGTGACACGGTTCCTCATCAGGAGACCTGCATCTCGAGGTCCCTCACCACTAGACATGATTCCCTCACTGTTAGGTTCTGCTCCTCATCGATAGACTCAGTTTCTCATCGATAGACCTAGGCCCCTCACTGGTGTACCAGTCCCTCAGTATCCGGTAACTTCTGACCAGTCTCATATCGAGAGATTGTACCGGGCAAAAATAGATTAAAGACGTTTAGGATAGTGATGAATCGAATTCTATTCAATCGGTGTTCTACGTGGCACGTCGTAATCGTGCCTAAAAGAATATCTTGTTAAGTCTGCCCCCTGTTCCGGGGAACGTATGCACATCTGCACCCCCCGTCGAATACAGTTGCGTGGATAGACCAAGTGCAAGTATAACCCCAGGAATTAATTGGCCAGTGGGTCGGGTCGGTAGCAAGCTTCCCTCAAGATCCGTAAATGAGGGCTGCCTCCTAATCTAGCGGTTAAGGAACACGGTAAGGGACACGAGTTCGAACTTCTGTTGTTATAAGAAAAACCATAAGCGACAAGCTACTTAAAGAATTTTGTATAAGCCCACTCTCGACCGATTAGGTCAAGTGATCAGGTACTAGGTCACCGAGTGAAGCATATCAAATCGGAACCCAACGTCTACATCTGCCAAGGCTAGCACATCTCAGTATCCGTCCGTGTTTACCGAATAGCGTAACTCGCCAGCCGGCGGGTACACTAGGTAAGTCAATGTATCTATGCGGCACCGGAGTACCCCTCGTGAGTCGGCAGTCTGGCATAGGGAGTATTTGGGTGATCATCACGCAGTTAGGAGAAGCAACTCAACCACTTATAAAAATATTAAAGATATGCATGTTTAGATAAGAAGAGTCAGATTGATATATGTAATGCAGTTTCAAAATTTTTAGCTACATATATCGAAAGACGTAATAAAAGTAAAAGTTGTGTAACGTCGATCTTAAATCATTATAATATGTGTTGATATCGATAATTTACAAAATTTCATACGTTTCGACTCTCCACTGGCGCGTAAACGACCTACTGTCGGAGGAGCTTCCCTCTTCCGTGCGTTGCTCTTGCTTCTTATCCTTGTGAACCAAGGTCTGAACTTGATTGTGGTTGAGATCGAATGATATGAATCTCGTTTAAAAATACTTATAATCGCGTTGGTTTGTACGGCGATCTATATAGCCCACGGTGATCTCCGTTTATGTTGCGTTGTACAAACAATACAACTTGATTAACTTGCCTTCTGGTCACCTAAGCTGTATAGGGATCATGTATATTAGTAACTTTTATTTTTTGCGTCTGATAGTAGACGAGTTTTGTCTTAAACCTCTTTGTGTTGATGGCCAAAAATTTTATCGGAATATTCGTAGCAAGATATTTATAGAATAGGTTAATGCGTCGGGAGGTCAAAGATATCCATCCCAGAAAAGACGTAGGTTTATTCTTTAAAATTATTTGAGTTATACTAATGTTTCAAAACCATATACTATACACGTGCTACTATTTTATTGTGCATGTCAGATTAGACTGCCACTCCTGACTTGTAATTTGATAATTTGATGTCGTATACCATGAGTTGTTCTAAGATTACCATTCGTTGATCGTGCTGATACTATTTGCTATCTCATTACATCATGCTCACTTCAAATCTCACTAATCCAT